ATACAGGCGTTAATACTGAATGTTTAACATTATATTCACTGCATACATATACTTCGTAGTAGACATCCTTAACTCCTTTCTGCTGTTCTGTTGTCGGTGTTTCTTTGTTTGAAAATGGCGCTTAACACATGCTGTGTGGTATCGGCGTTTGGTATCGGGGCATTTTAACAAGTACGAGTACAGGAGACCAGTATCGGTATCGGTGCATCCCTAATTATACTGATTATCAAATTTACATCATGTGCACTGTACCCTAGCATAGTGTTCATGCTACTGCCCACTATAAAAGAAAAACCAGCATGGAATATGCCAACATTAGATATTCATGTTATTAATGATAGGTAATCCAGTGGATGTGCTGACTGATGCGTGATGCATGGACAGGTTTCATCAGTTTTTTTTTATTTTTATGTTCAGTCATCTCTGTTGTGAGTGTCATCTACACACCCAGATTCTGAGCCTTTTTCAAATTTAAAAAAACACAACATACCAAAAACTAACAATCAGATCTAACAATTCTCATAACAGAAGCTGCCTCAGTTTCCCAACAACAGAAAATACTTCTTATAATGTCTTGAATAGAAAACTAGTCATACATCTGGAAATATCTAAAGTTTAAATATCAGCCCTGGAGTGTTTTTTTTTTCCTCTCCACAAAATATATATAAATTTCAAGTGAAATATTATATCATGGAGAGACAATATAAGAGCCAAATCGTGTGTCTGATGGACAGACTTGAGGTGTGTAGGGTAAACACTGTAACTGTTCCTCACCAAGCAGGACGCTGAAGCCCATCTTACACAGAACTGCTGTGGACAAGAACCACTCTGACACCAGCACTGAATGAGGGCCGCCTGACAGACACACACAGAGTGAAAACAGAGATCAGCAAAACAAGATACTGATGCCAAATGTGTCCGTTATATCATTTTTACTTTGTTATTAAGGATACTACAGAACAGACCGTGTGGCATGACAATGAGAGGTAGTTTGCTCCCTGCTGTCATTTCCTTTGGTTTCAGTAGAATAGCATTAAAGTCCAAACCAGCTGATGAAGAACAGAGAGTTATTATATTTTTCATGCAAAATAACAGAACTAACACATACAAACTCAACAGTTCCAGTACCGTGAATTTGACCACATGTACAGCATCCCAAGAGTGCTGCTATTTAGTCTAACAGCACTAGGAGGTTTGTTGGAACTACTGTTCAACTATTTGGAAGCATTTAAGTTTGGCAGAACAAAAGTAATTTCCAACACTGCATCCCAAATGCAATAACAATCATGTTGGAGTAAATATCAGCACATACTGTATATGCACTGTCACTCAGATCTTACGGTATTGACTGTTGTCCTCCTCAGGTGGCGGGCTGAAGTTTAAAGTCTGCCAGCTGATATCTTCCTGAGGTTGAGTCTCCTCCAGCGTGACCCATGACATCTTGCTTTCAGAACCCTTCTCTGGCAGGAAACCCACCCGCTGCAGAGCAGATCATCTAATTAGATGTACCTTACTATAATAAGGGACAATAAAACTGTAAAAATGTAACAAGCAGAACTAGAAATACAGACACAATTGGGAACAAAAGACTGACTGATAAGAAGGCTTCTTTTTTTTCCCCAAACGCTCACACATAAAGGCTGGAATACGCTACACTATTTTTGCCCCAATTTTTCCCTGATTTTACAGTCTGGAGAATTTGACGATTGTTGCCCAAATGCTGAGCCAGTCTGCAGATTTGAGTTGACATTTCTTAGAAAATCGTGTAGCAGGGTTATGACAGACTGCTCAGCTTTATTAAGCTGCTGTCCCTTTAAGACCGACTGCATGGATCCAATATACTGATACACAACGGTTTTCTTTCTCAACATTCACTTAAGACAAAACCAACTGTGTTTATGAGGATACTCGCCAGGATGGACATTGACAAATTAAGCGCAATAAGCTGGGAAAAATAACTAAATTTGTTACTCGTGAGGTGTTTGTGAGGCAGCTTTATGTGCGCATACGCTTTGGATGAGACTGTGAGCGCACAGAAAACCATCTCTGGAGTACTGAATGCTTTAAAAAGATTTTTAAAAGATGTGCAAATGGTACAGTTTTGTGACGATGCAACAGTGACCCGATTATGCGCGTGACAATTCTGTCAACTGTCCCCAAACATGAGCGTAAATCTCGTATCGCAGCATGCAGCGGCTCTCTTGTAGTGAGGGCGAGATGCGCTGATGTGAAGCCGTTTTGAGAGGAAGAAAGAGAAGACGCGGTACCGCTGAATCACTCGTGCTGTTTTCATATGACTGACCCGATCCGATATTCTGTGTGGATTTATTTACATCTAACTTGCATGCTATATTAAAGGGATGGTTCACCCCAAAATGAAAATGTGATGTTTACCTGCTTACCCCCAGGGCATCCAAGATATAGGTGACTTTGTTTCTTCAGTAGAACACAAATGATGATTTTTAACTTTAACCGTTGCAGTCTATCAGTCGTATAATGCATGGCAATGGAACCAATCATTTTGTGTCTTAGGACATCAATGTGTCGTCACGAGCCGCAGGGTTTAATTTGGATTTGTCTGTGCAGGTTTTTTTTTTACTCTCATAGATTTTGTTACCATTGCCATGCATTATACGACTGACAGACTGCAACGGCTGAACTTAAAAATCATAATTTGTGTTCTACTGAAGAAAAAGTCACCTACATCTTGGATGCCCTGGGGGTAAGCAGATAAACATCAAATTTTCATTTTGGGGTGAACTATCCCTTTAAATGTTTGTGGAAATCTCCCACATTATAAATGCGAAACCTGCGGGAATGAGTAAAACTATGCGATATATGCGTGATCCCCTCACTGACCTGATTAAAAATATATTCTATTGCACAGAGATTTGTGAAATATATTTCCAAAGTTTTCTGGGTTTATCCAAAACTTTTCCAGGCCTGGAAATTTAAGTTTTAAAATTCCATGACTTTTCCAGGTTTTTCATGATGGTCATAGACTCTGATTTTTTTAGCTTCAGACTTTGATTCCATCCTGTCGGAGGAGATCAAGCATGTTTGATAGTTTGAGACGATTTTAAAACACATGTTTTCATTTGTCATGCGTCTCCTAGCAACAAGGCGCACATTTCAGCATGAGTTTGTTGTGATCGGAACGACTTTAAAGTCTGGTTGTGTATGATTCTCAGTCGTTTAGTGTATGATGGCCAGTTTTTCCTCTGTGACTATTACAAAGTCGGTAAGTGTTTGATGGCCAGTGTTTTAAAAGCCGTTTGGATTTTAAAAGTTGTGTAGTGTATTCCTGCTCTCTGAAAACTGCTCTTTGTGTGAAAGCTCAATGAAGAGTGCAGCCATATGAGACTATGTGAGGCATTAGTGCTCAAATACACATTCTTGGCAAAATGATCGTCTTGACAATAAATTATTGTAAAACAATCAGTTCATGTCAAAGGCATGAAAAAAAAAAAGTATGTGGGTCAGTTCTTATATGTGACCCTGGAACACAAAAGCAGTGTTAAGTCGCTGGGGTATATTTGTAGCAATAGCCAAAAATACATTGTATGGGTCAAAATTATAGATTTTTCTTTTATGCCAAAAATCATTAGGATATTAAGTAAAGATCATGTTGCATGAAGATATTTTGTAAATTTCCTACTGCAAATATATCAAAACTTTAAAGATGATTTTCTCAATATTTATATTTTTTTGCACCGTCAGATTGCAGATTTTTAAATAGTTGTATCTCGCCCAAATATTGTCCGATCCTAACAAACCATACATCAATGGAAAGCTTATTTATTCAGCTTTGTTATTTTGTAAATTTCCTACTGCAAATATATCAAAACTTTAAAGATGATTTTCTCAATATTTATATTTTTTTGCACCGTCAGATTGCAGATTTTTAAATAGTTGTATCTCGCCCAACTATTGTCCGATCCTAACAAACCATACATCAATGGAAAGCTTATTTATTCAGCTTTGGTTTTTTTTATTTATTTATTCAATTTCGTAAAATTGACCCTTATGACTGGTTTTGTGTTCCAGGGTCACATATAGTGTACATACAGCCCAACAGACCCATCACTGTCAATTATGTCATTAATAATGATCAAACAGCAACAATAGAAAAAATTTATAAAATATAGAAAAGAGAAAAACGCTCACTACTCATGGCTGGACATCTTGACAAGCAGATAGCACTCTTGGCTCTATTGCACAAAATGTTTCTTTGTTCTTCATTTTACTATTAACCGTCATCTTTTTGCATGATTTTTTTTTAAACAAACCAGTTGTGGAAAAACTGTTAATGTTTCCTTTTTATTACTGTGAAGCTGCTTTGACATATAAACACATAAATATTAGGAATGTAACGGTACACAAACATGACGGTTCAGTACGTACCTCGGTTTTTACATTATAGTTCGGTACAATTTCGGTACAGCGGGGAAAACTAAACAATTTTTTTTTTTTTTAATTAAACAATGGTTTACTGAACAAATTGTTCTTTCTTTAAATAAATTCAGTTATAATTCAAATGTTCTTAAGGATAAAAATCTACCTCTGATTATACTCTAAACTATAGTGAGCCCTTTTACATTAGGCCTACTTTAAGGTTACAGTTAACAACAGAGCCCAAATTTAAATTTAATTACTATTTATTTTTATATTAAACAATGGTTTACTGAACAAATTGTTCTTTCTTTAAATAAATTCAGTTATAATTCAAATGTTCTTAAGGATAAAAATCTACCTCTGATTATACTCTAAACTATAGTGAGTCCTTTTACATTAGGCCTACTTTAAGGTTACAGTTAACAACAGAGCCCAAATTTAAATTGAATTACTATTTATTTTTAAATATAATAATCAACACTCAACTTTAAACAAAATGTATGCAAACATGTAAATTGTACAATGCAGTTTTTAAATTCACTTCTAAATTACAAAAATTACGTTTGTTGTTGAAATATGATCATTTACACCAGGGCTGCCCAAACTCGGTCCTGGAGGGCCAGTGTCCTGCAGAGTTTAGCTTTAACTTGCCTCAACACACCTGCTGGTAAGTTTCTAGTATGCTTATAAGAGCTTGATTAGCTGGTTCAGGTGTGTTTAATTGGGGTTGGAGCTAAACTCTTCAGGACACTGGCCTTCCAGGACCGAGTTTGGGCAGCCCTGATTTACACAGTGCCTCTCATAACTAATTTCATAACAGATTAATTTAAATATTAATTAAGACATCACTTACAGGTAAAGTAAAATGTAATGAGTATATGGTCTAATATTTTGTGAAATGCACTTCTCTAGACTTCATCTATCACGCACTAACGAGCTGTGGACACTGATGACTTCCTGAGGTAAAAAACTCTACGTGACGTTTTGTTTACAAGCGGTTTTATTGCCATCTTTCCGCAGTTGAAACACTGATTGAGAGATTACATGAGGCGCGAGATGTTCATTCATGTTTATTTTGTTTTATAACTAGTAGTAAAGAGGAAGAGATTTTGGTACGAATACGTGTACTGTTACACACCTAATAAATATATATATAAAAGTGCCTTGACTTGACTGTAGTGTTGGCTATACTATACTAAGGTTAAGGTAATTTCTAAGGCTGTTTCTCAGTCTTAAGAACGCAAAGAATAGAATTGCATTCTTGTAAATGAGTATGTATATTTAATTTTACTTATGCTGTGTCAATGTTAAGATTCTTTTTCATATGTCAGTACAAAGTACTGCAGGCTTCCTCTACATCTTTATCACTAAAATTATAAAAACAAAACAACAAATGTTGATTTTCACGAGCCGTCACATATTTGCGCGCTTGCAGTGGGAAGTTTAAAGCTAAACGCTTGAGTAATGGAAATTAACTTTGACAACTGAGGAAGATGTAATAGAACACAAGGACGCAAGAACACATCCTGAGATACAACCTAGCAATCCTGAAGACGTTAAGCTGGATCAGGTGTGTTTAATGAGGACTAGAGCGAACGCTGCAGGACACTGGACCTTCAGGAGCAGAGCCAGACATCCCTGGGTTAAGGGTTAGTATTTGAACAAAAACAACTATCAAAATGTTCTTTTGAAGCAATGTTTACTTAAAAACCTTTTTTAAAAAGTAGGTCTACATGCTATTAAATGCATTAATTATATTTATATACTTTATGTAATTAATATTTAACTTCAAATAGTTACACAAAATACTTGAAAACAGTGTTTCCCATACATTGACTTATTTGTGGCGGCCCACCACAATATCAACACTGACCGCCACAAATAGATTTTCCAAAATGCTTTGACTTTGTTGAATAAACATGAGCACTGCACGTTTCAAATTTTTCAAAATGCAGTCAGGTGTTTTTATATAAATGTATCTTTTTTGAAGGGAACCGATTGTCTTCAGAAAAGTTTTGATGTCATTTTCATTTAATCTTTCCTATAATGCCTGATAAAGCAGTGTTTATGAGCGCAGTGCTGCTTTGATTACAGTCATTACCGGGGAAACGCCATTTCTGCGGCACCTAAAGCGCCTCCTGCTGGCAGAGAATGAATTTGCACTTTCAATATATATTTCCCCCAGGGGAAGTGCCGCCACACATAGAGAGTGTAAGTCTGTGGGAAACACTGGAATAGGTCAAATAAGTGTGTTCAATAGCAAATTTACTGTGGTATGGAAACTGATTTTGAAAATGTGTGTGAGAATACCAGGTCTGGAGGGCAGTTAGGTGAAGAGCAGCTGACCACCATCAGATCTCTGTGAATATTCAGCAAATTCCAGCTTCCCTCCTCTGATTCTAGAGCAGCACAGAGCACAGACAGATTACAGACATACAGTACAGTACAGTAGTGTGTAATATTAGAAGAGGAAGAGAGTGCGCTCTACATACGGGAGGTGAGAGACGTGACTTCACCAGTTGAAGTATCAACAACCAACAAATCCTGTAATATTGGAACGACAGAAACTGATTGACTAACAAAGTAATTTCAGATACAGATAAAGAGACACTCACATCCCAAAATAGATCAAATTAACAAATATGAAACAGAAGGAGACCTCCCCTTCGATGACTCCTGCAGAGGGGATTTTTTTCATTGAGAGGGGTGTTGTATACTGGACTTATTTTTAAATGTCAAGGAAAAATCAATGATCTCACCTAAACTTTGCTCATTTCAATGACTGAACATGGTCTAGTGCTTTTTACAATAACTATTTTAAGTAGTTTTACAAAGGACCTTATAAAAATCCTAATTTGTTGGAACCTGATTCGTTTTTTTAGGATTCATGATTTAGGATTATGTGAAGATTCAGGAGTATCTGCAGACATGAACTGTAATGTTTACTTTTTCGGGCAGGATAAGCAATATATTGCAATTGTGAATCTTGCTGTAGGCTACCACACTACCAACAGAGGTAATTGACCAAACACAAAATATATTTCTGTATGTAATTATGCAGTAAAATATTACATGTGATATGGGATAATTAGAATAAACCGTAAAATGCAGTATAAATGCTTAATAATAATAGGCTATTTCACGTCTTCAAGTCCAGTCATGATCCAGTCTCACCTGCCACCCAATAATCACAATCAATTTTGTGCTTTGTTGCTTTTAAGAAGTCTCAGCTTCCAAATTATGTATATTTTGTGTAATTTTATCACAAAATACAAACTATAAATGTGGTTTATTAATGTGTTCGCTTTTGCACCTCAGCTCAAGCAGTATGTGAACTGATCATCTCTTCCTCTTTGCTACTAGTTAAAGCAAAAAAATAAATAAAATAAACATGAATGAAGGGAAGAGAATTTTGATAATTGTTCAATATATTGTTCAATGTATTACATGTGTTCAATATATTTTACTAAACCTGCCGTCTTCATGTTTTAATGCGTGTTTGAATAAATGTAATTTCACTTCACTTGATTTTATAGGCATTGTGCCATGTGTTACTATGAGAAGACTTTATTATTTTGGCATTTAAATGCATGTGGAAATGTATATGTGCAAGTATATATTACATGCTCAGCTGTGTGTCCATGGAAACCGAGATTATGAATGCAGCTGTAGTATGAGAGAGATGTTACAGTACCTTACGGCATCTCTGAGCACAGGACATAAGCACACGCTGACTGTCAGCTGACCAGCAGCGGGGAGAAAGCATTGAGCTGTAGATTCCAGTAAAACCATCTGACACACACAGAAATAGATTAAACAGGTCAGAGATCTTCATCTGAATAACACTTTTCTGAACTCTTTCTGAGCTTTTATAATTTCTTTACCAACCAATAAATAAAAAAAATTGTATGACTACATGCACATACCCTCTCTGGCTCTCTGCACCACATCAACCACAACACTTGTCTGCTTGGTGTACCAGTCATACTGCAACCAAACCACAGCAATACACAGTTGCTTGATTAAAGTTACCTACATTTGAACACTTAGACTATAAATACCACCTGCACCTCCAACTGAAGTTGCTTCGGAATCGGTCACTTGTTCACTCATTTACTATTTCTAATATAGTGAGTGGGCAATGTGACCAAAATCATACTAACGTCTGTTTAAACAAATTGGGCTAATTGGTCTTTGCACTAAATATGTTTTGAATGAGGAATCTTCTTGGTGATTATTAAAATACTAAGTAAATTAATTCTAAACTTGCTGTGATTCTTTAAGAATTGACCACACACTAAATACACACCATACATAGACGGTTGCACTGCTGGTGTGGACCGAAGATGCCACACTCCATATAAACGATACGGCAGAGGTCAGGACTTAGCCGAGGAGAGCAGACAGCACTGGAGTTAGATGATAACTGTTCTGAGGTGAAAGCAGAGATAACATTCAGAACATTTTGAAAAATATAAAAATGCTTAGGAAAACATTAAACACCTGCTTTTCTACTGAACTGCAAAAATAAACATCCACTGGCAGCAAGAAAATACAGTAAAACTAAAATCCATCCAGCTTTGCACATATATCCTGGGAAGCCAAATTTGAAATATCCATGCTATAGAGCCTAGTAAACAGTAAGAGCTATTGCCCAGCCTGTAGCCAATCATGACCAATTAAGAATGAACTACTCATTCAGACATTTTCATCGTGGCAAATCTGCCTAACAACTGATCAGATCTGCATCATTCACATAGTCAGTCCTGGGGCCGACTACAAACAAAAAGGCTCAACTGGTAAGGAATGAGGCTAAAACCAGCAGCAGAACAGTAAGTCTTAAAAAAGATAAAACCTAATGACCTTGAATGGAAGGGCCTTAAGCACCTCCAGCACATGTAAAGGACGAGAAGGCACCAGCCTACACGCCCCCTTCATAGATATTAATCATAGCCTAAGAGAGACCTGTGCCCAAAGGCTTTTGGAGAAACTGCAGAACATTGTGCAAAACGCAGTGAACAGAGTTCTCTCCACGTCAAGAAAACAATGTTGGAGAGAGGGGCAAAACTGTAGTGGCTTGCTAGTGGGAACCGTTCAGATGCCAGATGTGCAACCTTCACTCTAGGCCACTACGACCAAACTAACTTGTGAAACAATCTCAAAGGAAATTAATCCTTTCAAACTGGATGCTACCTGTGAGTCAGTGTATCTGTTCTCAAGGCAATGGGGCTGAAATACCTGGCCAAGAGCAACCCCTTCCTTACAAAATGAAGAATTTTTTCACACAAAAAGCTATGCAGCAGCATCAAATCAGAGGCAAATGTGGCTGTGCCACATCACTTCAGAAGAAACTTTATATGAAGCAGTGCCAAAGGGATAATGAACATCGACGCTGCCATTAGATACAGCATGCGTAGGGACAGGCACGTGGCAAATTCAGTCGCAGTCTGAACAGGCCCAAACACTGTCGAAAGGCACCAATCTGTGAACTCTGAACTTGTTCTATTCATTATATTCTGGCTAGGGAAACATCAAATGGCAGAGCCCAGAACTGCTAAACCACTTTCCCGTAGCCAAGGTGCAAACTGGGAAAGTAAGATCTTAGGGCTGCACGATTAATCAAATGCTATTGTCATGCGCATCTTGTCAGTAAAGTCGGTTCTGTGATTAGTAGTAAATCTCCAGCACGTGCTTTCAGATGGAGCGGCATTTACTACACAGAGCCATAGTTCAAAATCACGCTCATAATCGCAGACGATTTAATCGCGCGATTATGTAATCGAAGAAATCGTTCTGCGATTATGAAAGCCGTTTGCGTAGCATATGGCTGTGTAGTAAATGCTGCTCCATCTGAAAGCACGTGAAAATACCACATTTAATAACATGTTTAATCCAAACTCACTTCATAACGTCAGTCGAGTGTTTGAAATAAATCCTTCTGTGAGATGATGTGGCTTCTTACACAGAATACAGCATGCAACATATTTCATATTATTCTAAGCAGTGATAAAGGCTGTGTCGATTAGCATTGCATTATTATATACTTTATTATAAAAATTATAATAAGACGAACTCAGATAAACCATATATTGTCGTAGTCGTGTGTTTATTAGTCACTTTAATTAATGAAAGCAGTTAAATCTTCTGTTTATTCAGCAACCGCTATAGGGATTTCCTGGGTTTCTTCTGCGAGGCGTATTTGGAGTTTCAGCGAGAGAACGCCTTCGGATGGAGATTTTCTATGGATCACAGAACCGTGCTTCACTGAAAGATACACACGACAATCGCCACTTCTGCCTAATCGCGATTTATCGCCTTTGCGATTTAATTCAGATTAATTGTGCAGCCCTATAAGATCTACTGTAAAAAAAAAAAACACTGGACAGACATGAGGTTGGATCTGTTTCTAAGTGACCATCATGAAGGAAAGCCTCTTCAGCATCTGTTTCAAGCCCCTGGCTCAAGGATTAATTTAGGATTCATGCCATTGTCTTTGTTTTTTACCTAAAAACACATCTGTATTAAAAAAAAAACAAAAAAAAACACAAGAGGTCCCAACAAGAAAGCCTTTGTCCCAGATGTTCCACCGTTTCAGCACAATTGCTAAATAGTCATGGCTATAGAGCTTGAAAGGCAGAACTGGCAACCACAGCTACTTTGACCAGGCAAATCCCCAAGGAGCCTCTGTTCCACCAGGTCCAGGATTTATAAAGAGAGCCATGGACCTTTTTCACTTTTCCGGGTTTCTCAGCAGCAGAAGTCGTCATAGTTGGGTTAACTTGAAGAGCAGTGAATAGGAGAGTATCACAAATATATTTTTTGCATTCTCATTTGCTCAAATAGCAAAAGAAAAAGTTCACAATCATGTTTTCATGACTTTCAATAAAAGGACTATGACTGATAACTAATAAGACTTATAACGACAGTCAGAAGAGAGAACAATGTCAAATGTACCATCCCTCCCATAGATGCTGCATTAGAAACACCCTCGCATTAGCGTTAACGTTTTTTTGATTTATTTTTTGTAATTTGATGCAAAGGTAATATAATACAAAGAATAGTGTTATAAATGTACATATATTTTTTACAAAATACAAATATGAAAGACTTTCAAGGATTTACAATGCTGATGACCGTTAAACGCGTCATCACATTCTTGTGAAAAGGGTCCATTTGGGTCCTTCCATCCTTCCATTCTCCAAAATGCGTATCTTCTGTAGGGTTGCAGGGATGCTAGTGCCTTTCCCAGCATCTCAAGCCACACACAGGGGGGAGACACCCTAGATCAGGGGTCTCCAAACTCGGTCCTGGATGGCCGGTGTCCTGCAGAGTTCAGCTACAACCCTAATAAACACACCTGAACCAGCTAATCAAGCCCTTACTAGGCGAGCTGGAGCTGAACTCTGCAGGACTGAGTTTGGAGACCCCTGCCCTAGATGGATGGTCATTGGGTCCAAAATTAATTCTGTCCAGGTTTTAACTTCTTATGTGACTAGCAATGCCAATTCAACAAACTACTCATCCAGTTCAGTGGGAAGGCTGGGAGTTAGGTGCTATCTTCTGAAAATTCAAGTGGCAAATGCAAAACAAAAGGGGAAAATTATCCTGTTTGTCCTGCTGAACTGTGTTTGAGATTGACCAGGTAACACTAAATCTGGCTCTGAGATTAAATTATTATCACTTCAGAGATCATCCTTGCCAGATTCCACATAGTGTCAGCCACTGACAACATTTTAAAGTGACTTCAATGCAAGCCAACCCTGAAAAGGCTCTTTGGAGATCTGTGCTGTGTTTTAGGACTCTAATAAAGCTATGTGCTTCAAAGGTACGGTGTGTTCCTCTCTTGCCACATGAGAATTACAAAGGAGCATTTTCTGTACAGAATGGTTTGAGATGGAAAAATGCACAAAAAATGCACGGCTTACCACATTTACCACTAGCCAGATCCACATAAAACAGAGATGACCTGCAGAAATCACATTGCTGTTAGCATGCAGGCAAACAGTCCACTCTCAAAACATTGACTGTGCATTTAAACAACTGAAAAATCTGATTTGGTTTGAAGTTGGTCTTATCTTCATCAGACAGATATTTCCCATCACTCACCTTCTGTTGGCGCAGTATTTGAGCCCCAATCTGAATGGCTCATGCCACCAACCCACAAACACAAGCCCTGTGTCATTGGGAGCCCAGAATGCCTGTGGAAAAGAGTTGTGGTTTACATTATTCATCTTACATTGATATTTTATAAGAACAATAACTTTGAGCTTACAATAAAGAGTCTGTTTTAATTTAAATGGGTTTTATCAGTTTGACAAATATATGCACATTTTATCTGCATACAAAAAAAAGAAAAGAAAATTTGACATGAAAATAGTGCAAAACATCTATTTTTCCAGTTTTTATTCACATTTACATAGTTCAATGAGTTTAAACTGCATCGTTCTTTTCATTAAAGGAAGTTGTGATGTAGTCTGAAGGTATGTTTCGGGTCATTCTCTTGCCAAACCCTGTAGTAGTCTTTTGGTTCAACTCTGAATTCAGTAAAAGAGTCCCAGATCATCACGCCTCTTTCTCTATGTTTGACAGCTGGTGTCACGTAAAGGAAAAACCATCCTTTTGCCTACTCGACACAATATAAAAACTGCACATGAAATTATTCATTTCTATTTTTATTATCAAATCTGCAGCTCATTTTCTTATTCCCCTTGATTTTCTTTGCAAATTCTCTAAAAGGAAAGGAATATTTTTTATATATGTGTATATATATATATTTTTTTTTTTCTTCTCTGACTTTACTTATCAATCAGAGTCATCACAAACTTAGTTCACTCCAAAACGAATTAATCATAACAATGTTGAAGGTTAGTGGACAGGCTGTCAGTTAATAAAGTGATTAGTTGTTTCCTCACAAAAGTCAGTGTAACTAAAGCCTCTCCATCAATGACATCCATAAAAAAAAATCCGACCCACTGTCATTACCAAAGCGTCTAATAAGGATAATGAAAATCCTTACACCCCAGCATATTGACAGAACATGTCTCTCATTTACAGCAATGGGTTTACCGAAAGTATCAATTAAAACAAAAAAAGGGTGCTTGTGGTGTTTCTATAGTGATGTGCAGAAGTCTGGGACATGCACATATTGTGGATCTATACTAGTGCTGCTATAAATGAGATTTATTAATAAATGAAACTCAGAGAGGGATTAACCCCGCTGACTGTTAGTAAACTCAAGTACAGCACTGTTAAATGTTCTATAAAGTAAATAAGTGGGCCTCCTATCCTGCTATCTTCCATTTTTTGTGAACATGACCCTATTAAGCCCAGAAAGCAGCAGGTGGTGGATAAAAGATTACTTAACCCTTGTATGGTGTTCGGGTCTGTGAGACCCGTTTTCACTTTTTATCAAAAGAAAAATGATACTATTAATTATTTTTTCAAATTCATACTCATTGGCCTTGGCTAATTTTTTGTGAAGAACATATATCAGAACAAATTTTCAATGACCTCTCACTGCGTTTGCGTGTGAACGAACGGCCTAACCGCATAGAAAAAGCTGCAGTTTTAAAAATAACCACGTTCATGTGGACAGGGCCTTATTTTATTACATACAGGATGTTCGGGTTTACTGGACCCGGGGCTAATAAAAGTGTGGAAATTTTAGGTCCTGTGTACCTTCAACTCTGTCCTCCTATTGTCTGGGCCTGCTATTAGTATGTGTTTATGTGTGTGAGAGAGTGTGAGAGTGTGAGAGCGTGTGAGCGTGTGAGCGTGTGAGAGAGTGTGAGCGTGTGAGCGTGTGAGAGAGTGTGAGCGAGTGTGAGAGAGTGTGAGCGAGTGTGAGCGAGTGTGAGCGAGTGTGAGCGAGTGTGAGAGAGTGTGAGAGAGAGTGTGAGAGTGAGAGCGTGAGAGAGTGAGAGCGTGAGAGAGTGTGAGAGAGTGTGAGCGAGTGAGAGTGTGAGCGTGTGAGAGAGTGAGAGCGTGTGAGAGCGTGTGAGAGCGTGTGAGAGCGTGTGAGAGCGTGTGAGAGCGTGTGAGAGCGTGTGAGAGCGTGTGTCTTCCATTTTTTGTGAACATGACCCTATTAAGCCCAGAAAGCAGCAGGTGGTGGATAAAAGATTACTTAACCCTTGTATGGTGTTCGGGTCTGTGAGACCCGTTTTCACTTTTTATCAAAAGAAAAATGATACTATTAATTATTTTTTCAAATTCATACCCATTGGCCTTGGCTAATTTTTTGTGAAGAACATATATCAGAACAAATTTTCAATGACCTCTCACTGCGTTTGCGTGTGAACTAACGGCCTAACCGCATAGAAAAAGCTGCAGTTTTAAAAATAACCACGTTCATGTGGACAGGGCCTTATTTTATTACATACAGGATGTTCGGGTTTACTGGACCTGGGGCTAATAAAAGTGTGGAAATTTTAGGTCCTGTGTACCTTCAACTCTGTCCTCCTATTGTCTGGGCCTGCTATTAGTATGTGTTTATGTGTGTGAGAGCGTGTGAGCGTGTGAGAGAGTGTGAGCGTGTGAGCGAGTGTGAGCGTGTGAGAGAGTGTGAGCGTGTGAGAGAGTGTGAGCGTGTGAGAGAGTGTGAGCGTGTGAGAGAGTGTGAGCGAGTGTGTGAGAGAGTGTGAGAGAGTGTGAGAGAGTGTGAGAGTGAGAGCGTGAGAGCGTGAGAGCGTGAGAGCGTGAGAGCGTGAGAGAGTGAGAGCGTGAGAGAGTGTGAGAGAGTGTGAGCGAGTGTGAGTGTGAGCGAGTGAGAGTGTGAGCGTGTGAGCGTGTGAGCGTGTGAGAGAGTGAGAGCGTGTGAGAGCGTGTGAGCGAGTGTGAGCGTGTGTGTGAGCGTGTGTGAGCGTGTGTGAGCGTGTGTGAGCGTGTGAGAGCGTGTGAGAGCGTGTGAGAGCGTGTGAGAGAGTGTGAGTGTGTGTGAGTGTGTGTGAGTGTGTGTGAGCGTGAGAGAGAGTCTGTAAGAGTGAGTTTTGTGCTTCTGCCCCTGCCATTCCCACAGCTAAAGTTGTAGCACTTTAATTCATAAATGTGATCTAACAAAGGTAAAGGGCAAATTTTGACCATATATGCTGTTGATATTACTTGCAATAGGGATGAAGTAGACATCTGTTGAGTATTTTAACATATAATTTTTGATTGTGTTGAATTAAAAACCCAAAACTGCAGCGGATCCACCAGACCCACGAACACTGGCCAAGTAACAAAAATATGAACACCACACAAGGGTTTAATTAGAGACTAAACACATCAACACATTTGTAATTTATACACACCCTGCTGAATATGAGTGCTGTTGTTTCAGTGTGATTATGATTTTTTTTTTTTGTCCTTTCAGCCTTAATATCGAGATGTCAAAGCTTATTACAGGTGAAACCAATATAAAATGTCAAAATAACCACAATATAATTTTCAGTAAAACTGTGGCACCTTACTTTGAACCCATGTCTAAAACACAAACACAGAAAGTGTACCTGTCCTGGGGAGATGTTGGTGGGTATTCCTTCCAGAACAGTGATGTTACTGCCTTCGATGTCCAGCACACAGAGCACTGGGCTGCTTTTATTCACAAGTGCTTCGCCCCAGTCTTCATAATACTCAAACTGCTGACCCTGCCACAGACACATACACACATAGTCATTCCCAACACAATCAAACTGAAGCTGTTAGAGAAGATGGCACATATGATGGCAAAATTGTACCAGGACTGTTTCCTCTTTCTTGTCTGTCTTGATGGTCTCCTCTTCATCAGCGAGCAAACCCGTCTCAGGCCCCTGCAGTTTAAGGGAACATGAGGTCAGATGAAGAATGTGCTCATAGAATGAATCGTTAGAAAGCATGTGCGTTTTCTGTAATCATCTGTGTTTGTGACCTGGAAGTACGACTCGGTCTTGGGTCGTTTCTTCTCAGCTACATATAGGAGGTGAGTCTCTGAATGAGACCAGACCATACAGCCGAACTGCTCTGAGAACAGAGAACACACAAGCCTGATTATCAAGATTATCAGACTGCACAGCAGCAGAATAAGACTGTCAGTCTTGTATTTCAGTGAATAATGCGGTTACATTACACACAAGAGCATGATTTTAGGACAAGTTATACAAAATAAACTGTTTTCAAGTTTCTGGAACCGAAGGTGGCACTGTAAGCACATTCAGCAAGATTATGGAGCCAAACATTGTCTACCAATTTCATTTAAACAGACCTAAGCATGGTCCAGATGATACAGCCTCAAAAATCTCTTCAGTCATTTTTAATGTGGCTCAGTTCAGCAATGCATCGTGCCCATTTTTTTGTAAGAATTTTGTAAGATAAAATAACCACAAATTTATTTGACAAACTAAAACCATGATAAAGACACAAATAAGAACCTAAAAAAGTATTGCAGATTACAAACTTGGTCATGATCACCCAATATGCAGAAATGGGCTCTATGGGCTGCCATAGACTTATACAGTATAAAATGGCCTTTATGGTACCTGCCATCTACTAACAAAAGCTAAGAAGCTAAGGGCAACTGGCTATTTAAAAATGCATGTTTTGTTTCTCATTGTTCATATTGTATCACTCTTCATATGCCGTTATCAGGAATCGTAAGTTAATATATGTCGGGTGGTCTGATGGGTGAATGAACACATGCAGGGCTCCACATGAATAAATTAGAGTAGTGCAAGAGAAAACCTGTCAAATTCATGAAAATGTTCAAAATGGCCTGAGCTGTAGTGATATTACATTTAAGGCTTGCGTTAGAAAAACAAACAACAAAAACACTACAAAACCAGATGTGAAATAAGCAGCTGTAGTGGGACAAAGCCATGTGGTACAGAAGGTGCTATTGATTCTTTTGACCACCATATGGCCACAGCGCAGACAGGGCTGTAAAAGCTTTGCGTAATGAACCCTTTTGTGATACAGTTGAGAGGAAAGCCTTCTGTGCGTCACAAAGCTTCATTTCTGAATCTCCGCTGTGCTGCACTGTTGAGATTGCATCACTATTTGCTGCACTTATGCTGTACAATGTGACTAGTCAGTCTGGAGCCCTGATGTGCTGTTTTTGGTAACCGGGTGTGAATGTTTTCCTCTTACCATCTTCATACACTTTGCCGTGTTTGCTGAGAGTCGTCAGATTAAGACACTTCAGCTTCCTGTTCTTATGCCAGATCTAGACAGACAGAGAGAGAGAGCAAACCACTAAAAGACTAATCATCCTGTAGAGCAGTGCTTCTCAAACCTGTCCTGGAGAACCCCACCACTGCACATTTTGGATGTCTTCCTCATCTAACACACCTGATTCAACTCACCAGCTCATTAGAGATTGAAATGAGCTTGGAGTATTGGGCGTGCCGAAATGTTTCTCATTGGTGAAAGGAGTTTCTTCCTGGGAACTGTGTTGGCCAATCAGCGGTAAACATACATTCACGTAATTTATGTAAGATGGCGGCGTCAATAAGCTGCACGATTTGACACCTCATTCATGTGTCTAGGACAACGGTGCGGGACGAGTTACCCGATGAAGTTTGTATGGAAGAATAATAATAATATATATATATAAATAAATAAGTTCACAGAATAGTAATAGACTAATACTAAATTTAAATAGTAGAACAGGCTTGAGAAATAAAACATATGCCAGTGGAAATGATGATGATAATGGAAAAAAAAATAATAATAATTTAGGGCTGCAACAACTAACTCAAAAATAATTGAAAAAAAAATTAAATGAAGCAATCAAATCAATAGTTTTGTTTAGTTTTTTCGGAAAGTGACCTTAAATTGTCACTTTGTTCAGATGTACAAATGTTGTTGTTTTTTTTTTACACAGTATTGCCACTATGCATGCATTTTGATTGTCTTTTTTTTTTTTTTTTTAAGATTTTGACTTTTAATGCGCATCTAAATATGTTGGGCTCAATGTGTAATTTGTAATTGTGTGTGTGTGAAGACAGATTCTTCTAGATGTTGTGTATGAAAAAGGAGATGGAGCCTTTCTCACTCTGTCACTAGTGTGCAGAAAGTTTAATGACATTGTCAACCGTCAAGCTTGATTCAGGTTCGGTTTGAGTTGGACAGTGGCCCTCCAGGAGCAGGATTGGACACCCCGGATGTAGAGTCTCATTTAGACGAGGAGCACTCGTGTTAATCTGAGTTCCAACTAGGGCTGTGAGATTAATCGAAATCGTCATAAAATCGCGATTTGAGCATGCACGATTTCTAAATCGCTTTATAGCCCGATTTTCCGCACCCGACCTCCCGCAGTATGCTATCCGAACCAATCAGAATGCAGTGCACTTGAATGGAGCACGAGAACAGAACAGACCGGGCGGGCATACAAACGTAAGGCCAGGTTCACACACCCCGTCTGTGGTGCGGATTTTGTCCGCGCCCATGTTAACGGATCAGAGTGTTCACACTGCACGCGATTGCGGTCCGGCAGTGCGCTCCAGGAGCGGTGCGTCTGCAGCAGTGCTGCGATCGTTTCCGCACGGAGTCTATTTCTGCTGTGCTGCACGCACTGAATTAAAGTGACAGCGCATTATTCACGGTAAAAATTAACATGGATTGACACGGAAATTTAGTAATTACACCATAAATGCATATAATTAAAGTCTACTGTTTCACAGTCAACACATGGCTTTTTGGCTAGATTTAAAACAAGGAAAAGTGCACTTTTAGATAAACAAGGCAATAATAGATGGCACTCGTGGTGGTAGTTAAACAAAGTTATATTTATTGAGTTTATATTTATATTTATATTTATTGATGTCTATGAAAGATTGTACTACTGTACTGTGATAAAAGCATTTTCAGAAACAACGTTTGGATTTGAAATCAAAATAATGGATAAATGTTGTGTTTGTGGTAAACAGCCGCGGATCAGGAGCGGACTGCAAACGCGTCCTGTGTGAAAGCAAATGAGTCCGTGGCTGCTTCTGCACCGCATACACATACTGTATACGCACTGCAGACGGAGTACGTGTGAACTTGGCGCAACAAATCTAGTTCAACATCTGAGGCAACGCCACAAAGTGCTCTATGACCAATGCATGGCAAAGAAATTCCTGGGCACTTTTTTTTTTCTGCTTTCTGCCATATGTCTATTCTAGAGACATTTTGTTGCACCTTTACTCAGTGATTATTTTGCCATATGTCTGTTCTAGAGACATGTTACAGCTTTTTGATAAAGCTCTAATTGGCTTTCTTTTGGAAATATGTTTCAAATTCACACTGAATGCATTAATGACTGTAAAGCATGTCTGTGTGTGTCAAAATCGTGATTAAAATCGAAATCGCAAAATTGATCAAAGAAATCGCGATAGTTTTTTTTTTTTTCCATATCGCACAGCCCTAGTTCCAACACAGATCTTTTAAAGCTTTCAATCAGCCACTTGAGGTCCTGTAGGCTACATCTATACTAATCCCAACACATCTTTTTCTCTACATTTTGCCTTTTATCCACACTGAGACAGCGTTTTTGTTCTGTGAAAACTGAGCTTTTTGAAGACGCTCTCGCAAGTGGATAAATTTGAAAACCTTTTTTTAGTGTTGTAGTGTGGAATGTGAAAATGCAGGTATTAATAAATTTTTTTTACAAATAGTTATCTATAGTTATACAAGCATGTGCCTGTTATGTGCTGTTCGCTGTTGCTCTAGATATGTTACTTTGTACAATCTTCATATTACATTCCTGCAAATACGACAGAAAATGTACTCGCAATTGCTGTCCTCTGGCAGAACATGAGGGCAGTTACATATTAGACTACACAAGGAATAGCGATTGAGAGCGACCAGGACGCACCCGTAGATGGGCAGATATTTTGCTAAATGCTAAAATAATTGTGCCAGAAGAACAGTTTGGTCTCTCTGTATCATCTCATGATTTTAGTGCTTTCCTATGTTTCAGTATGGATGAGGAACTTTCGGAAAATTCTCGAAAACGCCAGTGTGGACCGAGAGCGTTCTAAAATGAAAACGCTGTTTTCATATGTATCTGTATTATTATAAACATCCTTAGAGACTGGAGTTTGTCATAGGTAAATTACAGCCAACACAATCTCAACATGAAAAGTCAGCAAAGAATCTGAATACTTATGCACAGGTGGAAATGGACCTTTTCTGCTCACTAGATATGGTAACTAGTGAATACCCGACTCTACCACTGAGCTGAGACTGGATTGCACTTCACAACTTTTACAATTTGGAGCTGTATGTATGAAGCAGTTCAGAGAAATATTTTAGTGTGTCAAAATTTCAAGAATGCCATCATTTGACTATTATTTCTAGACTTGAGAATGAGTGTGATTCATAATGTGTTGACTTTGCTTCTCAATTAGAGGAGAGGAATCCTAATCTATTTAAGAGTTGCAGTATGGTGTGCATAGAGAACCACACACTATTCACAATAGAAGAATGTGTTGGAATTCTGACACTGGAATTTGGACTGATACAGAAAAGGTATATCTATAGATCGTATAATTTCAAAGACATGTGAATATTTCCTATTCGCAAAGCTATTAAACATCAGGCAGTGTAAGACTATTCAGAGATGTTATTTTTGGAGTTTCATGCATACTGCCCAGAACACATTTTTTAATACTAGGCATCACATATTTGTTCAGATGTCTAGCCATTTGCACAGCTGGCATCTCAAATAAATGATTTGTGTAAACAATCTGACCTCAAGGAACTGCTTGTCTTCTCCTTTAATGGTGCTCTCTCTCAGCACAGCCTTCATGTCACCGGATGGAGAATCCACACTGAGCAGCCTAAACACACAAGAGCCAGAGCACGTCAGCGTGATGTATCAGGCCATGCACTTTCTTACTTCTTGCTTAAAGAAGCAGTAAAAATTAAAGTTTTGATAAACCCATGTTTCAGTGCTGTTCTAGACCCGTGACTTTCATTGTATGGAAAAAAACCCTTTGAAACATTCATCAAAATACAGTATATCCCCGTTTGTGTTCCGCAAAAGAAGTCATACAGGTTTAGAACAACATGACGGTAAGTAAATGCTGACATAACAGTCAATTCTGGGTGAACTATGCCTTTAAATATCCTTCCTTGATCACATATGAGTAAAAAGTGAACCCACTCTCCCTTGATTTCTGTGCAGTTTCCCGAGGGTCCGGAGTAGACCACTGATTTGTCATCATGAAACACAATGTACTGGCGACAAAACTTTACATTTTCATTCCTCTCCAAATCCCGCTGAGTCCACTCTGAAAGACAAACTCATGTGTGAGATTATTTATAACATGTTTATGAATTAAAAAAATAAACCTGAATCTTATACGTCTATAGCGCTAAAGTGCTCAAAAACAATGCTTTATCAAATACTGTATATGCAAAATAAACTCCATGTTTTGATATCTTTTGTGCTATCTGCCATTTCAATCACCCAGCTAATGATTCTTAAGTTTCTTCTTTTTGGCAGACCTGCTGCACCATTTACTATAAATTCAGTCTGTCCATTGAATCGACCTGTGACTAGAAGGGAAGTCTTGATCATAGCAAAGTAGCACAGGAGTCACATTTGCTGCTGATGAGGTTCGGGTTGAATGTAGTGCTAGGATTAATGTAAAGTAGCTTTGGCATCCTGGATTTTGAATTGTTCATATAGCAACGATCACACCCGACCACCTGAGGTGTGCAAACCACTAGAGGCTTGTGGGAACCCTGCTCTAGACTTTGCAGGACACCACAAATGCAAGTGTTATTTTCCCTAATTATTACATTTCTGTATTTGAATACTACCAACCTTATTTTATTTGTAACATATTCTGTTGTATTTATCTATGCTTGTAATTTGTGTATTTGTTCTTATTTTTACTGGCTGTCCTCGTCTCTTTAATCATGTTTAAACTTTCTTAGTTAATCTAGTAGTATTTGCCGTGGTATCAAAGTACTACTTCGCTTTAAAGGGGTCATATGATGCGATTTCAATGTTTCCTTTCTCTTTGGAGTGTTACAAGCTCTTGGTGCATAAAGAAGATCTGTAAAGTTGCAAAGAATAAAGTCTCAAATCCAAAGAGATATTCTTTATTAGGGATCAGAGTCAGCCACGCCTACCTAAAACGGCTCGTTCTAACACGCCCCCACATGTCTACCTCACTATGTGGGAAGATTTGCATAATGCC